CAGACCTGCACTGCAGCCAGGGGGAGGCCGCCATGAGCTGCTGCACAGACCTGCACTGCAGCCAGGGGGAGGCCGCCATGAGCTGGGGCACAGACTTGCACTGCAGCCAGGGGGTGGCTGCCATGAGCTGGGGCACAGACCTGCACTGCAGCCAGGGGGAGGCCGCCATGAGCTGATGCACAGACCTGCACTGCAGCCAGGGGGAGGCCCTCAGATAAGCACTTTCCTCCCGGCTCTGTGCTACCATGCGCGGCAGGGATGAAGGGAACAGGACACATGCCCACTTTCCAGTGGAGACAGAACAACAGCACTCAGAGGCAGCCAGGAGAGACTTCAGGGGAGGAGGGGGAGGTCCTGGGGAGAGACTGCAGGAGAGGAGGGTGAGGTCCTGTGGAGACACTGCAGGGGAGAGGGGTGGAGGTCCTGAGGAGAGACTGCAGGGGAGAGGGGGGAGACACTGAGGAGAGACTGCAGGGGAGAGGGGTGGGGAGACCCTGGGGAGAGACTGCAGGGGAGAGGGGTGAGGAGACCCTGAGGAGACACTGCAGGGGAGAGGGGGAAGGTCCTGAGGAGACACTGCAGGGGAGAGGGGGGAGGTCCTGAGGAGAGACTGCAGGGGAGAGGGGTGGGGAGACCCTGAGGAGAGACTGCAGGGGAGAGGAGTGGGGAGACACTGAGGAGAGACTGCAGGGGAGGGGGGGGAGGTCCTGAGGAGAGACTGCAGGGGAGGGGGGGGAGGAGACCCTGAGGAGACACTGCAGGGGAGGGGGGGGAGGTCCTGAGGAGACACTGCAGGGGAGAGGGGGGAGGAGACTCTGAGGAGATACTGCAGGGGAGAGGGGGGGAGACCCTGGTGAGAGACTGCAGGGGAGGGGGGGAGACCCTGGTGAGAGACTGCAGGGGAGGAGGGGGAGGTCCTGAGGAGAGACTGCAGGGGAGAGGGGGGAGGAGACCCTGAGGAGAGACTGCAGGGGAGAGGGGGGAGGTCCTGAGGAGAGACTGCAGGGGAGAGGGGTGGGGTCCAGCTTCTGTGAAAGACCTCCACCACAAAGGAGAAGTAGAGAGAATGATTCAAATCACAATAAATTCAATTAGCCTGGGGCGGTGGCCCACACCTGTAATCCCAGCTGGTCAGGAGGCTGTTTCCTTTTTTTGTTTGTCGGTTGTGAGGCTTGAACTCTGGGCCTGAGCGCTGTCCCTGCGCTCTTCAGCTCAAGGAGAGCGCTCTACCTCCTGGGCCACAGCGCCACTTCCGGTTTTCTGGTGGTTCATTGGAGATAAGAGCCTCATGGACTTTCCTGCCTGGGCTGGCTTTGAGCCATGATCCTCAGATCTCAGCCTCCTGAGTAGCTGGGATGACAGGCCTGAGCCACCAGTGCCCGGCTGAGTGTCCATTTTTTTGCTTCCTGTGTTTGTTTTGTGTGGGACCCTGAGTACCACAGTACCATAAAACAAACACAAAAAATAACAACAACAAAACACCTATCTCTAGTTATAGATATGAGAATTATACAGTGAAATAAAAGCATCATAGAAGCTGGGCAGCGGTGGCTCACACCTGTCATCCTAGCTACTCAGGAGGCTGAGATCTGAGGATCACGGTTCAAAGCCAGTCCAGACAGAAAAGTCTGTGCAATTCTTATCCCCAATAAGCCACCAGAAAACCGGAAGTGGCTCTGTGGCTCAAGTGGTAGAGCGCTAGCTTTGAGCTGAAGAGCTGAGGGACAGCACCCAGGCCCAGAGTTCAAGCCCCACAACCGACAAAAAGAAAAAAAAAGAACACCACATAGACACTATAAAATACTTAGGCATAAACCCAATATAAATGGAAGTAATTAGGAGTTCCTAGATGTGATATATAAAGTCTTTGCCTACAAAATGATAAACTGACTTTCATCAGAATTAAACACTGACAAATTGATCTTTGTCAGAATTAATCATTGATAAATCAATCTTCATCAAAATTAAACACTGACAGACTGATCTTTGTCAGAATTAATCACCCCCCCTGCAGTCTGTCATGTCTGGACAAGGAAAAGAGCACATTTTACAAATCGTTCCACAGGATTTATGAACTGACAAAGGACACGTGTCTAGGATTCATAAAGAATTCTCTGAACTCAGCAGCAGAGAAGCAGATGGTCTGCTTTTAGGTGAACAGCTGAATAAACGCAGCAAATAAGCCATCTGTAAGAAGAGTGGTCTGTCTTCTGTAGAGGAAATGCCAGCTGGATTTGTGAGACGCTAACGACAGAATGTCAGCTGTAGGACTTGCTCATTCCCGGGGTGCACCATTGCCTGGCCCCTTGGAATACAGCGCACAGCTTCTCATAATGCTAAGAACATCCCGAGAAACCAGCACCCACAGCCGGGTAGCTCCCCAGATGGAAGGCAGGCCGGCCCCAGCTGACCCTGCTGGGGGCGAAGGTGGGAGGGGAGGCTCACAGGACCTCTGTGGCTGCAGAGGTCCTCTGCTCTCTCTTCAGGGTAATTCCAGAACAGGTCTGGTTCTTGGAGGCCAGTCCTTTCCCACAGCCACAGTCAGGAAAGGAAAATCCCCCTCACCCTGGCTTTGTCATGGTCAGCCGCGTTAGGAGTGGGAGTGGGAAAGACACAGTCCAGGAGGCTCCATGGGTGCCCATCAAACCCCAGGACAGCTCCACTGACCTCCAGGTCCCGTGCCAGACCTCGAGCTCCACAGGCTGCTCCGTCCTGATCACCCCCTGAAGTGTCACAGGCCCAGAGTGAGTGGCTCAGGGAAAGCCCAGCACTCTAAAATCTCAGTGTCCAAGCTGGGCACTGGTGAATCACACCTATAATCCCAGCTACAGGAGGCTGAGATCTGAGGATCACAGTCCAAAGCCAGCCGGGGTAGGAAAGGTCTGTGAGACACTTATCCCAGAAAAAGCCAGAAGTGGTACAATTGCTCAAGTGATATACTGACCTTGAGCCAAAAGAGCTCAGGGAGAGTGCCCAGGCCCAGAGTTCAAGCCTCAGGACTAGAAAATAAATAAATAAAATCCCAGTGCTCCTCCAGCCCAGTCCAGTGTGCACTTCCAGAACTGTCCAGTCCGTCTCAGAAGCCAATCCAGCCAAACTCAGGCGGAGAAGCTCCACGCTGACGTTTCCAGCTCTTTAAACTGGAAAAGGAATGGCTTATTATTTTATTAGATTCTCTCATTGATGAACAAAACCAGAAAATGCAGAATAAAGAAAGACACTCAGACTTGCATGTCGGTCCCGCAGCTACGGCATCTCTCTGTCCCAAACTGTGGGCCTTACCTCCGGGAGTTTGACAACTATCTGTGACCAGGACCGCGTGGGCCTGACTGCTCCTGAGCACACACAGGAGCCTGTGGCTTTATGTTAACTGAAGGGCTTCCCAGAGGAGAGCTGCACGCAAGTGCGGTGCGGGTGTCACCGCCGGGCGCGGGGTCACCGCCGGGTGCGGGGTCACCGCCAGGCATGGGGTCACCACCAGGTAAACGCTCACCTCTAACAGCAGCCGCCCCTCCTGCACAGGACACGCTCTGATAGGGCCTTCTCCGGAGGGGAGGGTGTCCGCTGGCCACACACGCGTCTCCCGCAAGGCTGTAGGGAAGAGCAGACAGATGAGTCCCTGCCGTGCTTTCTGGCTTCCCCAGGCTCACCCCAGGTTCTTGTTGGATGGCGGCCGAGCTGCACGCCCCTTCCCCCCACCTCTGGTAACATGCAGGTTCTACACGGTCTCCACGTACGGCAGGTCAGCCCTGTGAGTGGGGGCCAGGGGGCCTGGAGGAATGAGCCACGCTGGCTGCAAGCGGCTCCCACCTGAGCACCATCTTACCCAGCTCCCTTCCCAGGAAATTTGTGTAGAACCCCAGTCCACTCAGCTTGACAGCTCTGCCCACGACCATGGCCTTTTCCTGGGCCCTAAGCCCCAGTGGATCCCAGTATGGCACAGGATCCTGGCTGGAGAATCAGCCCACCTGTCAGCCCCTCCCAGGCTGGGCCAAAACTGCCTCACAGCCCCCCCCTCCTGCTGTGGGCACAGAGTGAGCACCTGTCCCCCTGACCCAGGAGCGTCCCCCTGACCCAGAAGCGACCCTTCGAGCAGCTTCCCAGTGCTTCCCTCAGCCTACCTCCAACTTGGGGTAGCACTTGCAGCCCTGGGAGTTAAACAGTCTTTAAAAAAATTTTTTTAGGGCTGGCTCAGGGGTAGAGCACTTGCACATGCATGAGGCCCTGGGTTCAATTCCTCAGCACCACATAAGCAGAAAAAAAGCCAAAAGTAGTGTGGTGACTCAAGTGGTAGAGCGCCAGCCTTGATCTGAAGAGCTGAGGGACAGCGCCCAGGCCCAGAGCTCAGGCCCCGTGACCGACAAAGAAAATGTAATTGTTATCATAAGGTGATATACAGAAGGCTTACAGTTACACAAGTCAGGTAAAAAGTACAGTTCTTTCTCAACAACGTCCCCTCTTCCCTCACACTCCCCCAGTTTTCTCCCCTCCCATCCCCATCCACAAGTTGCATAGTTTATTTTCCACATTGTGTCTGAGTACCACTGCTGCATTGGTTCAGCCTTTGTCTTTCCAAAGACAAATAAACAAACAAATAAGACAAAAAGAGAAGAAAGCAAAAACAGCAATATTAAAAACCTATTTCCATTTCCTGGGCCTCACTTGACAGCTGTAAATCTTATCCATTCAGCTGGGTGCTGACCTCAGGGCTCTGCCTGGACACCTAACTCCACATCTGCAGCGTTGGTGCGTGGGGTTCGTGGAGGACTCTCACCCCAGGCTCCTGAGACAGTCAGGTAAGCGCGTCCTAGCGGAGGGTCCTAGCAAAAGCTGTCCACGTCCTCGGAAGGTGGCTACTCTCGTCTTTACCTGGGAGGGAGACCACGCCGGGGAAGCAGGCCCCTTATTTCTGTCTTGCCAAACTGGCCAGTGATTTCAGTGGGCCCTGTTTACTCAAACAGATGAAATTCTTGATTCTTGTTCTAACTGTGAGGTAGAATATAAACTAGTGTTATTACATGGGATATGTGAATCATCCACTTTTGCCCAAAGGAACAAGTGGTGGACTTTCCACCCACAGGCGGCCGGCCCACTCCCTGACTTTATCAGACTGCCTACCCTCATTTGTTGGGGTCATCCTAAAACAACAACCCCAAAGCCCGCCACTCCCTACCCGGGAAAGCTGCGCACAGACAACAAGCCTTCACCAAGGGCCACAGCCCCTGTTCCTAGCCCACCTCATTGAGAGAGGACGAAGTTGCTGAACTAGGCCTGCTGGGAAGAGATAACCCTCTGCAGTCCACCCAGGCTGAGCCGAGTCCCCACGGCGGTGACTGGGGGACTGTTGGCTTTCTACAGTCTGAGCTGCACCGTGTGGCAATGTCCCAGGGCCTGTCTGCCCCTCTGCAGACCCTTCCCTGGGTTCTCAGCATCTGGCCATGTGCAGGCCCTGCCCTCCAGAGTGGGCAGCGACAACTCTCACCCAAAGCCGGCCTCTGTGCTGGGCTCCCCGGCCCAGGAGGCCATCTGGGCTGTAGACTCAGACCCTCCGACGCCTTGAGCAGGGACCAATGACTGGATATGGGAGGCTGCTCTCCACAGCAAGTCCAGAAGATGGTCCCAGGGCTGTGCTGTGGCCTGTGGCCCACGTCTCTGCCCTCTCTCTTAGAAGCCATCCTGCCACCACCCCGGACTCCCACAGCTAATGGAACTGGAGTTCTGCTCATGGCACCAAGTGTGGAAGAGACCCATTTCCTTCGCCAGAAAATAGGTCCTTCCTGGGGAAACGTGAGCATTCAAGGCACAAAGGGGCAGAGCAGGCTCCCTGGGCCCTGCCCCACACCCTTGTCCACAGTCTTTGCCACACACTGGGCCTGGTCAGTCTCCTGAGGACGCTGCAGGAGTCAATGTTCGTTTTTCATTTTAACCTCTCCTGGGGCAGGCAGCCCCGGCCCTCTGTTCCTGGGAGGAGGAAGCTAGTCTGTCTCTTTATGGGCACAGACTACTGAGAGAATCACCTGGGCTGTAGCTGAGAGCATGCAGTTGCGAGCTAGAGTTTCTGCTCCCCAGTCCTGTCTGGGAGCTCTGGGGACTGGGAGGAGGGTGGTCAGGGTCTGCGCTGGCCTGAGCTCTGGACTGGGAGGAGGATGGTCAGGGTCTGCGCTGGCCTGAGCTCTGGACTGG